GGGCTCCGGCGATCCTTCCGCCTCAGCCTTCCAAAGTAGCCAGAATTACAGGCATGTGCTACCATGCCCGGCTGATTTTTTGATTTTATTGTAGAGATGAGGTCTCGCTGCCCAGGTGGGTCTCGAACCCGCGGGCTCAGGCAATCCACTCACCTCAGCCTCCCAAAGGCGCGGGATTACAGGCTGAGCCACCGAGCCCGGCTGGTTTTTGACTTTTTAAGTTTCATTTGTTTATTTTATTTATATTTATTTTTGAGTCAGAGTTTCTTTCTGTCACCCAGGTTGGAGTGCAGTGGCACAATCATGGCCACCGTGGCCTTGACCTGCTGGGCTCAAGTGATCTTTCTGCCTCAGCCTTCCAAGTAGCCGAAACTACAGACATGCACCACCACACCTGGTTAATTTTTTTTTCTTTTTTTAAATTGTAGAGATGAGGCCTCTCGAACCACTGGGCTTAGGCAATCCTCCCACCTTCGCTTCCCAAAGTGCTGGGATTATATCCATGAACCACTGTGCCTGGACTGACTTTTGAAGTTTTTTGTTTAAGGACAGAAGTCATTCTAGGCCAGGCGCAGTGACTCATACCTGTATGTGAGAGGATTGCCTGAGCCTCCGGGCAACTTGGTGAGACCTCATCTCTACAATAAATCAAAAAATTAGCTGGGCATGGTGGTGCATACCTGTAGTTCCAGCTACTTGAAGGCTGAGGCTGAAGGATCACCTAAACCTAGCAGGTCGAGGATGTGGTAGCCATGAGCATGCCTCTAGGCTGGGTGACAGGGTGAAAACTCCAACTCAAAAAAAAAAAAAAGAAGTCATTCTAGTAGCTGAGAGATTCACACTGAGAAAGAGCCAGAGCAGGTCCCTGCTTACCTGTGATTTGGGGGAAGTTCTAATTTTTTTTGCTTTTTTTTGAGTGAGAGTCTCTTATTCGGGCTGGAGTACAATGGCGCAATCAAGGCTCAACACATGAGCCTCTTATTCCAGGGTTCAAGCAATCCTCCTGCATCAGCCTTCCAAGTAGTTGGCACTACAGGTGGATACCACCTCACCTGGCTAATTTTTTTATTTTTATTTTTTAGAGATGAGTTCTTGCTATGTTGCCCTGGCTGGAACGTTCTGCTTCTAAAATGGCTCCTCCTGTTCCCTTTCTTGGACTTATCTTGTTGCTGATGTCTAAGATTCTATCATTTGAGATTCATTTCTTTAGAGACACCCCTCATTTAAAATGCAAGGGACTCTAGGAAAAGCCCACAGGAAGAATTCATGAGGGGTTATCACAGCCCTGGATCTGAGGTTTTGAGAGGAAAAGAGGCCTGGTGAGATGGTGTGTGTGGTTAGCAGGGGAGAGTGGACTGTTAGGGACAAATGCCCCCTTCCCTCCCCCTGTTCAGAGTTTTGTTCTGAAGCTGCATGTCCTTGGGAATTTGCATCTCATGGTGGAGGGAGGATTCTATAGGGAGCCTCATCTCCCCTCCGGCGTAAAGCTAGTGTCACCAAGCATGGGCTTAACTGCTAGGTTTGCCCTCCTTCAGGTGGTCTGGGCCAAGACAGAGAGGATTGGCTGTGGCTCTCACTTCTGTGAGAAGCTTCAGGGCGTGGAGGAGACCAACATCCATTTGCTGGTGTGCAACTACGAACCTCCGTGAGTGCTGGGGGAGCCCTGGAAACGAGGAGGGCGCAGAAGGGCAGAGCCTGGAGGAGGGATGATTTGGGCACAGCCTAAGTTGGGAGGACGGAGTGTAGGAATCCAGGGCCTATATCCTCCGGAGCTGTGAGGGCACCCACGAGAGTCTGCTCTCAGTGACCAGAGAGGAACACGAGCAGCTCGAGGTCACCCAGCAAGTCAACGGCAGGCAGTCAGGAGACCTGGGGCGCTTCCAGATTGGGGTGCGCGTGGGGCACTGGGGACAAGGACTGGAAGGGACCCGACCCCTCCTCCCAGCATCCTCCTCGCCTCCTGTAGGGGGAACGTGAAGGGAAGAAGGCCCTACCAGGAGGGGACTCCGTGCTCCCAGTGTCCGTCTGGCCACCGCTGCGAGAACTCCCTCTGTGGTGAGTCGGGCAGGGGCAGCGGGCGCGGGAGAGGTGCCTGCCGCCCGGATGGTCCAGAGCCCCCCCGGGCTCCCACTGAGCTCCCTGGACGGAGCTGTGCGTAGGCACGGCAAGGGCCGGGCGGGAGGCGGCCTCCAGAGGCCCTGGCCCCTCCGCCCGCGTCCGCTTTGGTAACTAGCGACCGGACAGCGGAGACTCTGGGGGGGGCTGCCAGGCGCGGAGGTGGGCGTGGCCCCCGGAAGGTCCCGAGGGGCGGGGCCGTGTCGGTGGGCGTGGCCAGAGAGTCCGGGTGGGCGGGGCCTGCGATGCGACGGGTGTCTTGGGAACAGGAATCCCGCTGGGGAAGAGAAACTTAGACCAGGAGCGGGAGGGAGGGAGCAGTTGTGTCAATAACCAGAAGTAACATTTCTCAATGAGGGGCTTCGTCTCTGAGAAGTGTGGGTGTGTCTTGGTAGGACGTGTGGTGGCGGTGGGCTGAGGGATGTGGGGATCTGCTTGCAGCACTGATACCAGTTCTTATCTCATCAGAACCTGTCAGAAGTCCGGAAGTTGCTCAGGATTTGCCTGGCCTGGTGACTGAGGCCCCATCCTCTCCGGCAACTGGAGCCTCCGGCTCTAGGAAAATGGGTACTCCTTCCCTAGCAACGGAGACTCCATCCTTCTTGGTAACAGAGGCCTCAGACTCCCCGGCAACCAAGGCTCTGCCTGCTGTGGAAACCGAGGCTCCAACTTCCTTAGCAACGAAAGACTCCCCCTCCGTGGCAACAGAGGCGCCAGCTTCTGTAACAACTCAGGTCCCTTCCATTTTAGCAACTCACAGTCTGCTCCCCTTGGATGAGGAGCCGGTTACCTTTCCCACATCGACCCATGCTCCTACCCCCAAAGCGGCAGACAAAGTAGCCAACAAAATAAGAGCAACCTCTGTGAGTCCAGATAAAGCTCTGCACCCCAAGATGTTCCCAACGGGGACAGGGGAGCCACTACCCCATACCCAGGAGGAGGCTGAGTCTGAGGCCGAGTTGCCTCCTTCCAGTGAGGTCTTGACCTCAGATTTTCCAACCCATGCCCAGGAGGAGACTGAGGGCAAGTTGCCTGCTTCCAGTGAGGTCTTGGAGGCCTTGGTTTCAGATTTTCTAGCTCAGACCCAGGAGAAGGCTGAGGCTGAGGCCGAGTTGCCTTCTTCCAGTGAGGTCTTGGCCTTAGTTTTTCCAGCCCAGGACAAGCCAGGTGAGCTGCAGGCCACACTGGACCACCTGGGGCACACCTCCTCCAAGTCCCTGCCCAATTTCCCCAATACCTCTGCCACCGATAATGCCAAGGGTGGGCGTACCCTGGCCCTGCAGTCGTCCTTGCCAGGTAAGGCCTGTGGCATCTGCCCTACCTTCCCGCCTGGCTCTCAAATGTCAGCATCCTGCCTCCAGCATAGGTGATATGAGCATGGCGGGGCATGCGCCCTCTAGTGGGAGCTTCCTCCCTGGCTGCTGCCCCCCCATCCTTGCATGATGGGGCAGGTGGGAGATCATATAGCTGTCTCGAGGCTGAAGCAAAGCCTTTCCCTCCCACAGGTGCAGAGGGTGCTGAAGAGCCTGGTATCAGGTCTGGACTGAACTCGGGCCCTGGTCACATGTGGGGTCCTCTCCTGGGACTACTGCTACTGCCTCCTCTGGTGTTGGCTGGAATCTTCTGAAGGGGATACCCCTCAAAGGCAAGGCCCACTCCAAGTGAGAGGCCACAGCTTTCCAGGCAGGTTCTACTCTGCACCCCAGCTTTTGGCCAGATTCCAGGCCAGTGCTCTGGCCTCCTCAGGAGGCTTTTGCAGGGCCACCCCTTGGTACTGCTCCAGGAGGGGCTCTGGGCAGGCGCACCCCTCAGCCAGTCAGACTGTCCTGAGTGGTTCCTGTGGCCACCTGTGCTCACTCTCAAGTTGTCCTGTGGCCACGAGCCTGCTCTCCCAGAGACGGATCTCGGGCTTCCCCGGAACCCCTTTGCCCTTCCCAGTCCCCTGGCCTCTGCCTTGAACCATCTGAGTCCAGAGCTGTCCCCAGAAGTGCCTCTTGCCTTCCCAGGGTGAAGCGGTCAGCTGTTCTGCCATCTCCCCACCCTGTCCCCAGCTCCTCAAACACGACGCTTCTTGGCTTAAGGCCCGCTGGAAGGGAAAGGCTACGGCGTTTGTGCACCGTCCACGGCACCCTGGAGGCACAAGGCCTATCTGATGACTGCACTCCAGGCCCAGACCTCTCCTGCCCCTCCCACCTGAGACCTGGGGGACAGGGGAGAGTCAGGGGAACTGACTGCCGGCTTGGCCTGGGGCTATCTGTCTACACAGCATGGGGGCTCTCCCTGAGTGCCTGTGTAGCTGGGGAGGGAGATTGCAGAGGGCAGAGGAAGGACAAGCCCCACCTGAGTGGGGTTCCAGGGGTGGGGGAGGCAGGGACGAGGGAAGGGAAGTGATCCCTGACTCTTGAATAAAAGCCTGTCTGAGAGGACCTGGGTCTTAGTGCTGGTGAGGGGGGTGGAGGGCCAGGGAGGATCCAAGCCAGGCGTGCGACAGCTTGCAGGGGTGCTACTGCCCAGGCCTGCCTGGGACACCTGGTTAGGAACATGCCCCAGGCAGGGCCTTGCCAACTTCGGGAAGAGTCCTGAGTGCTCTGCAGCCACACCCCCCAAGGGAGCACAGCAGGGCCGTCCAAGGTGCCCAGGACCAGGGAAGCCCAGGGGTGGGGAGCAACCGTGGGTGTCTGAGGGTGGCGGGGAGGGGCACAGCACGATCTCTGGAACAGAGCAGGAGGGTGAGCAGTTAAACAGGACACCGTCGGCAGGCCAGGGCGGGGAGCTGACCTGCAACCAAGGAGGTCACACCTCTCTTTTTCTGTTTTATTTCCCCAGTTCTATTAAAATAACACATAAAGTCAACCGTTTGAAGTATGCAACTCAATGGTTTTTAGTATCCTTACAAGGTTATGTAGCCACCACCACAATCGATTTTAGGACATTTTCATCACCCCAGAAACCCTGTACGCATCAGCAGGCACTCCCCGTTTCCCTCCAGCCCCCACCCCAGGCAACCACTCATCTATTTTTTATGTGGATCTGTCTGTTCCTGACATTCCATATAAACGCCTGGCAAATCACAGATGTGGCCTTTTTCGGCTGTTTCTTCCGCTTCACATATTTTCAAGGTTCATCCATGTTGTAGCATCAGAACTTCATCCTTCTGATAGAATAAAATTCCATTCGTGGAATATGTTTTACTTATCCATTCATCACTGGACATTTGGGTGGCCTCCACTTCTGAGCTCCTATGAATAATGCTACTGTACCAGCTTTTCTGTGACCTGCTTTCAAGTCTCTTGGGTATATACGCAGGAGGACATGCAAGGGGCCTCCCTGCCGGAGGTTCCTCCAGCTTGGCCCATCAGAGGAAGACTTCCCAGGAGGGAAGGAAAATGAATGACTCCCACAAAGGACATTCCTCCTCCCATCACCCCTCCTTTTGCTGGCAGCTCAGCTCCCCTCCTGCTCAGCCCCGTCCAACTCCCTTCTCAGGTAAGGACCCAGCATTCTCATCTCCAGGACTGACAGGAAACACACCAAGCACTTGGAGGGTAGATGGACAGAGCCTCAGCCTTCCAAGACCAAAGGGTCCCGGAAACAGCATTTAACACACACAGTACAAAGATTGGAAGAGTGAACTGACAATTGGCTTTTTTATTAGATGAAAAACCAAAACTTGGGACAGAGTATCAAAAGAGATCTTTATGCCACTTCTGGGTGTGAAAGATATAGCCTGGGAAATGAGACTGAGACCCCAAAATTCAGAAGTCCCAGGAAATTACTTAGGGACAGCACTGGCCCTCTCCAAGGTCACTGGCCAAGCCCACCGTGGTCTTGCTCTTCAGCCCAGGCGGCCTCTTCCAACTTCTGGGAGGACGTGGATGTCAGAGGGAGGGGCTCTCCAGGACCGGTTCAGCTCAGCTCCAGAGATATAAGCGCCCCTAAGTCTGGGGATGGGGGGGGAAGGAACCACAGGAAGTCATCAATGCAAAAACAGGATGAGGGTGGACCAACAGGAAGAAAAGTTCTCCCAGAATGTGGCCGGTGCTGTGGAAAACCACACTGGGCTGGAGAAGGGTAGCAGGTCACAAGCAGGTTGCTCTCTTAAGGCCTGGGAACCCAAGGCCTGTTTTCCACAGGTCTGTCGGATACAAGCTATCCTTCCCACCTCTTCAGCTGACTGAGGTATTTCGCTAGGAGAGCAAGTATGGGCACCAATGTTATGAGGCCTTAGTGTCCCTGAGCATTGTCACTTACATAACGCCCACATAAGCACACCTGTGTATTCCTGAGAACTGCCCTTGAGCCCACTGGGAAAACCCAGTCACTGGGAAAACCCAGATGTGCACAAGCATCTCAGGGGCCTTCCCTGGGGGGTGACCAAATTATGACCAAAGCCACCAGATCCCAACTCTCACAAACCAAGTCCCTTCACGCAAGGGGCGAAAAACACTTGGGGGAACCCAGCTGGACCTCAAAACACCTAAGTTTCATCTGTTTATAGACCCCAGTGGTGGACAGAAACGGATGGAAGGGAGGTCTGCCCCTTCCTGCTATAACCGTGTGCCACCACACCAAGTGGCTCTCAGGAAGACTTGAAGACACGCCATCTTCAAACAGCACTGAGACAATAGGGGCCAGGTGGAGCACTTTCTGAAATGCCTGTCTCCCTGGCAACAGGTCTGTGCCGGTTGTTGCCCTGTGAACTGGCACCCCAGCCTCACTGCCCAGTGCCTCCCCCCGAGACTGACTTACACCAAGCCTGCACCCACCATCTCCAGGCTGGGCAGCCCCCAGCCCTGTGGCTTTGCAGACCCTCCTCACACCAACAGGAAGGACTGAGAAAAACGCTGCAGATTGTTTAAGCAAAAATAAGAGACGCCCCACAAAACTCCAAATCACCACCGATACATTTATTTGAGGGAGGGAGGGTCAAATATTACCATAAACTCTTATACTGGGTAGAGCTAGAGACACTGGTCTGCCTTGTCCCTAGGTATGCACAATTGCACAGGCAACCAGATCCGGCATGTGTGGTGCCACCATTAAACAGACAAGTGTTAGGTAAGTGGACACATTCTGAGTAGTCACATGATTTCCCATTCAGAGAAGGCGCTGCCCTCCTATCAGATAAGTAGTGTTGAGAAAAATGAAGACAGAGCCCAGCACTAGCTTCCAAGCACAGGCTGAGGATCATGGCAGCCTCGATCACGCCCTATTTACAAAGCAGAATGACGTCCCCAGCCAAGCTGTGGGCTGGGAGTGGGGCTGATGAGGGGAGGGGACTGGGATCCCACCCCAGTCACCTTTCCCCAGCCAGTCTGGGCCTGCAGAAGCCATTCTCTGGCCCGCTGAAGGCAGAGTCAGCACATCTGGGAGGTACAGACATTCCAGCCAACTCCTCACCCCACCTTCCCCAGGTCTGGCAGGTGACCCAGTCCATTGGGCGTGGCTCTACCCCCCGCAGCCCGCCCCACATCTGGACAGACACACGTGAATATGGAAACTGAAGCCCAGCTAGGCTGGGGCACATCTAGTTGTTGTTGGGTTGAAGTCATCTTGCAGGTGTCCTGAGACAACCAGGCTTCGCCCACGGTGGCCAGGCTGAGATAGTGTGTTTTTAAGATGATTCAGGTTACTCCAGGGCAAAGCATGATCCTGATGACACCCGGCGGAAAAGCAGGCTGGAGCCTCGGAAGAGCTGGCCCTAGATTGGAAGAAACAATAAGGTCGAGGAAGGGGACGCCATGATTCCTCATCTCCTGAGAAGAAGGCCAGTGGAAGGCAAAGGTCCTGAGAGCCCAGAGACTCAGGCAGGGGGTGTGGAGGGCCTAGGATGCAACCCTGGAGGGCAAGGTCGGGATCTGCCTGTGACAAGGCAGAAGGGCTGGTTCATATCATGCCCTGGAGTATCCAATGACCATGGGGCCACTCGGTTGGAAAAGCCCAAAGACGAGACTCACCATCCTTGCCTCAGAGCCGAAGTAGCCTGGGACAATCCAATGCTCGTGGGGGCCATGATACATGGAGAATGACTGCCTGCTTCCCTCCCAGCCATCCTCCTCTCAACCCTGAGGCCTAACAGCGCTCTGGCTACTCTCAAGGCCACCGTCCCATTTTACTGTGAGGGAAACCAAGGCCAGAGAAAGGCAAGGTTCTGCCTTATGCTAGCGCTTGAACCTCTGATGACTGGGCTCAAGCAGGTGGCTTTGGCAAAGAACCAAGGCTGGCTGGCATTTCTGCCAGGTGCCCATGTGGCCCAGTGCCAGATCCCAACCCCCCACAACACAGACTGCTGGGCCCGGGAACGTCACTCAGCACAAGAGGTTCCTGCACTTTACTCCCCACCCCTGAGCCAGAGTTCCCTACTGCTGCCCTGAGAGTCTTCAGGCTCAAAGAAGAAAAGGAGATCTTGTCTGATGTGTAACTTTTAGATGAATCCAGACTCACATCCTTTTGAACTACAGTAAAATGACAATGTAATTTAAATGCTGGAAACCAAGTGTCTATATCCTCTTTTCTCTATCTTACTCACACTGGATTCTATAAAGCCCCTTATCGTTCTTTTTTTCTTTTTTCTGAGACAAGCGTCACCCAGACTGGAGTGCAGTGGCACAATCGTGGCTCATGGCTGCCTCAGCCTCCTGGGCTCAAGTGATCCTCCCTGCCTCAGCCTCCTGAGTAGCTGGAACTACAGGTACATGTCACCATAGCCACCTAACTTTTTATTTTTAATTTTTTGTCGAGACAGCATCTTGCTATGTTGCCCAGGCTGGTCTAAGACACCTGGCTTCAAAAGATCCTCCCACTTTGGCTTCCCAACGTGCTGGGACTACAGGTATGTGCCACCATGCCCAGCCAAAACCCCTTATCTTTCCTCACAGTGGAGAGTCCACAACACTGATGGATGTGGCACAGAAAGGGATGAGCCACCTCCCTGCAGAGCTCACTTACCTGCACACTCAGGTACTTCCAGCAGTGAATCCAGGATTTGAACACTGGGGAGTAAGGAGGGAGCCCCGCCTGCAGCCTGCCCGGGAAGGAGAGTGTATGTTAGACCCAGAGAATGGTGGGAGGCTGGTCAGCCAGGTAAAGGAGACCTCATCCTGCCGCCACTCACATCCTGAAACCATTGACTTGCCCCAAAGGGGGTTGGTAAACCCCAGAAGAAACTGGGGTGCCTGGTGGCCAAACCAGCACAGGCCAGGTGAAGGGGCAGAGTGCTGGAGGGCTCAGCTGGGTGCCCCCAGCAGCGCTGGTACCACGGCCAGTAGGGGTGCACACCTACCCGCAGTTGTTCACAGCCATGAGGTCACCGACCAGCAGGAAGGGGTAGGTCAGCATGCTCACTGCGATCTGAAATCCAGAAAAATCTGAGTGCCAGCGACCCCACCCGAGCCCTGTGAGCAGGGACATGGGGCGCCAACATCCTATGCCGAGACCTGCCTCCAGCCACCAGTGGGGTTGGTCTCCCAGGCCCCTCAGAGGTCTGCAGGGCAGTGAGAAGGGCAGCTGGTTCGACTTACCCCCATCACAAACTTGGTGTAGCTCCGGATGGCCAGGGCCTGGCTGAACTGAGGGAACAGAAAGGAAGAGTGGTTTGCCACGGGCAGCTAGGACACACATTTCAGATCCATGGCCCCTCACTTCACCCTCACGCCCTCTGTATTCAGCCCACGCCACACATACTGCCTTCCCTTTCAGGGCCCTCCCGTGGCCTCGGAGTCAAAGCCCAGGGAAGCGGGAGTCCCATGAAGGCCAGGTATGTGCCACCATGCCCAGCCAAAACCCCAGCCAAAGTGGGATGAGCTGCTACTGGCCCATGCAACTCCACTGGACTGAGGACCCTGGGCTCCACCCATGTCTGCCTGATTACAGGCCTGGCACACAGTGGGTGCTCAGCAAGTGCTTCCTGAAGAGAACACAGATCCCTGCCCCGATACCTGGAGGCAGAAACCTGGTCTGTGGCTTACTGTCACCCCCACCTCCCCCAGCTTTTGCCCCCTTTAGACCCCAACTCCTGGAGTTCTACTTTCCCCAGGAAACAGCCTGTCCCTCAGCTTCCTATGAAGTGGCCATGCCATCGGATGGATGTCCCAGGCCCTGGGCGGAGATGAGCTCAGCTATCTGCCTGAGAGGCTCAGGCAGACCTGGGAGCCTCATCTCAGCCTGTAAAGTCCACACAGAAAAGTCCCTGGAAAATACTTCCAATGAAGCTGCTGACTGCTGTTGTTGCCGAGGAAGTACAGCCTCTGTTCAGACAGCTGCACACCCAGCCTGGAGACACCAGTCAGTCATACGCTCCCTGTCCCTAGACACCCCGGCTGTCCCAGCCTTGTGCTCTTGACAGCAGCAGCTCACCCACCCACATGGCACCTGAGAAGGGCAGGGCTGTAGGTGCATGCTACTGTAGCTGCAGATGGGGTGGGGCTCTCCAGAGCAGCTTTCATAGCTTGTGTTGAAAGCCAGCTGAGACTCAACTACCAAGTCACATGGCCAGCTGGTCTCCCTGTGAGCAGAGGTCCCATCTGAGAGGAGGCGTTCTCACCGCACAGAACAGACATGTGCCCAGACACACCCCACCCCAAATTACCAGCCTGGGGCCCAGACACAGACGCACATGGACTAAGACCCCTCCCTGCCCCAGTGATTCTGGCAGACAGGTCACCAGGCCCCTTACCTATCCTCTTGGGCCTGGCCATAACCACGGTTAAGAGTGTCTGGCTACTGGAACCCCCCCAACCACCAATGCTTTCTAATTCTTATCTTGGGTCAGGCAGAACCAGTGAATCCATCAAGTACCCAGATGCCCTTCTTCAACAAGGATCTTGTAGAGGGACCACGCCCTCCTGTGCCTGACCTGTCCGCTGAGAGGTCTGTGTATATTAGGCTGTGCAGACCATAGATAAGGACAGGAGGGGCGCCTGGACTGTACACTTCCCAGCTGGTCTGAAAAAACTCCAGGGGGAAAGCACCCTCAGTCCGGCCAGGGACCTAGTTCCAGGCCAGTTGGCTTTAGTTGAGTGACTCTGGAGAGCCCATTTAATCTCTGGGTCTCATTTTCTGTATCTGTCAATGAGACGTTATACTTGCCCTGCTCCCCTCACAACTAGGGTGGTGTCAGGATCAAGTCATAATATTCACAAAAGGGTCTTGAAAGTATACGCTATGACACAAAGGTCAGAGGATTATGGTTATTAACTGGTCTATCTTCCAATTTCCTGAGTCCCAGTTGGGTCACTGCCTCAAAGCAGCCGTAGATAAGCTGGGGTCTGTTTCTAAACTGCCGGAACAAGCATTTCAGACATTCCTCCCAGGTCTGGGCACTAATCTGGAATTTCATCTCTGGAGGTCATTCTCCCGAGACAAAGCTGACTCCAGGGACAACCAGAGGTCCTCTCTCACCCTCAGGGCCTGATGCTTAGAATCCTAGAGTCCTCTAGTCTGCCCCAGACCCTGGGCATCAGCAGTGTAGTAGACGGAAAGAAGGACAAGTCCTTGTTCCAACCAACCTGGGAACCTGGATTCTGGTCGTTTCCCAGCCCCCCTGGGGTGTCACTCACGCTGTCATCCACCAGGTAGGCATTGATGAAGTGGGCCAGCAGGTTACAGCCCCACAAGAAAACCACATCGCCCAGGAGGTGAGGGATTAAGCCACTAAAAAACAAGGTGAGCAGAGATGAGGAGAGGAGGGAGGGGAGAAGTCCTGGCGGCTTCACACCCAGGAAGCAGCAGGGACGTTCTCAGCTCAGAACCTCAGCATATCCTGAGCTGTGGGGACAACGGCTGTGCACACCAGGAAGGTAGTGCTCCTTTTCTCATGGGGAGCTGTTACATGCCACGTCAGATGCCACCCATTAGTTAATGGTCACACAAGCAGTCTTCAAACCACAGAAGCCAGGCATCAAAATGTGAATACTGCCAAACCTGGGATTTTCAAATGAGTGTCTATTATGTTGGTAGCTTTTCCCTGGCCTCTACCTGACTTTCACAGTGCTCAACGCATCTGTTCTCTTCATTCTTGGAATATTCCCTCAAAGACATTCCATGCAAGTGTTTGCAAGGAGGGCTAACTTTTAAAGTGACAGCCCTTAGGATAGACAGCTCTACAAACTGATGAGGAAGGTCCCTAAGACGCCGTGCTGATGGCAAGAAACCAGTGTGAGATCAGTGGGTCCTAAGTGCTGATGGGTGGTTTTTAAAGCATGTTTGGCTGTTTAGATATGGAGTGCCTTGGGAGGCTCTCCAGCAGAAGAACGGCTGACTCTTGGTGGGATAAGCAGAATTATTGCTTTTTTTAATTTTGAAAAATATTACTACAAAATATTTGGAAAGTTCAAACGACTACACATAACACATCCATGAGGGATATTAATAGAATGAACCTTTGGGAATGCAACTTCCAATCCCCTTGTCTCCGCCTGTGCTTGGACTGTCTATGCACTACATCTCTGGTGCCTTCTGAGCATTTAACATGTAAGCTTATTGCGTGTTCCAAAATCACATGGCAAAAAGAACCCAAAGGGTAGGCATCTGCTGGGGGAAACCTAGTCACACACCAAGACAGAACAACATAGTGTGAAAAATGTCATGGGGGGGTGATGTGTAGTGCTTCAAGACCTGACATACCAGGTACATGGGCAAATATTTATTCATATATATATTTATACATGCAAATACATATGTGTTGTATGTGTGTGCATATAAATCAGTTTCTTAATCTTGACACTTTTGACATCTGGGGCTGAATAATTCTTTTTCTTCTTTTTTTGTTTTTTTTAAGAGACAGGATCTTGCTCTGTTGTCCAGGCTAGAGTAGAGTACAGCAGTGCCATCACAGCTCACTGCAGCCTTAACTTCTGGGCTCAAGTCATTTTCCCTCAGCCTCCCAAGTAGCTGAGACTATAGGTGTCCACCAACACACCTGGCTAATTGTTTAAAAAACTATATCCAGAGACAGATTCTTGCTACGTTGCTCAGGCTGGTCTCTAACTCCAAGCCTCAAGTGATCCTCCTGCCTCAGTCTCCTGAAAACCACAGAAAACACACTAATCCTGTGTAGCTGGGATTACAGGCATGAGCCATCACCCTCAGCTGAATAATTATTTGCTGTGGAGCTGTCCAGCGTATTATAGAATGTTTGTCAGCATCCCTGACATCTACCCACTAGACACCAGTCGTGACAGCCACAAGACGTCTCCAGAAATCGCCAATGTTCCCTGGGGAGCAAAATCATTCCCTATGCATGCGTGCGCATGCACACGTGCACGCACACGCACACACGTGCACCACACAAACACACACCCCTACACACAGTAGGCTCTTGGCTAAGTAAGAATCACAAATGTAAACATTTGACAAACTGGAAAACGACAATAAAAAGAACTGCTCATATGGAGCCCAATATATAGTCTTTTGAACTTTTTTTTTTCTGAGTCAGGGTCTCACTGTGTTGCCCAGGCTGGAGCAGTGACACGATCATGGCTCACTGCAGCCTTGACCCCCTAGGCTCAAGCGATCTTCCCGCCTCAGCCTCCCAAGAAGCTGGGAGGCATGCACCACCATGCCTGGCTAGTTTCTTTAAATTTTTCATAGAAATGAGGTCTCGCTATATTGCCCAGGATGGTCTTGAACTCCTGGGTTCAAGTGATCCTTGGCCTTGGTCCCTCAAAGTGCTGGAATTATAGGTACGAGCCACCATGCCCAGCTCTTTTGAACTTTTCAAATATTTTATCATCGTATTTTTCAAAATTAAAAAACAATAATTCTGCTTCCCTTCCCAAGAGATAGCCATTCTCCTGGAAAGCCTCTTCCCAAGGCACTCCGTATCTAAACAAGAACGTACAAAACAGAATATATATCACTGCCTAGACCTTAAAAAGGCAAAACAAAAAGCAACTTGCCGGCCTGGCTTCTGGGTTCTGTGTGCACTTTCTTCTTCCTGAACAGTCTTTTCAGTTTGAGCTTTCTTGATAGGTGAAGTAAGCCGGATGTGAGGTGATAACGCGTGCAGGGGGCCGGGGCCTCGTGGACCATGGGACCCCCTGGGGCCCCAGGTGATGGCGGCTCTACAGACACACCCACCTAGCAGAGCCAGATGTATTGGTGTGAAAAGTCTCTAATGTTAAACGTTAACAAGTAATTTGTTAGAAATACTACGTCCACCAGCATCCGTTGCCATGCCATAGTCGTCGGTCTCTGAGCTGCCAGAGCTCAACCTTCAGTCCAGGGCACAGATTTTTCAGCAGTGAAGCTGAGGACTATGTAGCATCCCAGTTCTTAAAGACCAGCTCTATGCCTACATCTAACCCTGGACAGAAGGATGGGGGCTGGTAGGGCTGGCTAGTTCACTTCCCTGGTGTGCTGGGCAGTTGTAGTGCCAACGATGTGTGGTTCAGATACGCTATGGAGCTCTAGGGAACTAGGTGGCAGCTCCTTGGGCCAGGGCAGAGCCCTGGGGTCAGTCTGAGGCCAGCAGCTGTGGTCTAAGAATTTGAGGACACACCTGTTAGTAGCGCCGTGACCCATGGCCAGTTACAGGACGTATAAACTCACGTACACAAAGAATCCCAGCAGCCCCTCCTCTTTAAAAATCTTCCCGATGGAGCTCAGCACACCGCTGTGGAGAAGACAGGCACACAAGGTCACTTGGACCCCCACTAGAAGCCCAGCCCCCTGTGTGATGCAGACTCCCCAGTCCTGGGCATATGGGGAAAGTTGGTACCAGGAAGCATCCAAGTAGGAAAGAATAGAGAGCTCTTGTTTGGGGTGAAGAGTTTACACAGCTCATGGAGACTGAGGACCCACAATCCACAGGAGCGGGAGACCCAGCAGTCCTTTCCTGCGAGCTCTGGAATATAGGAATGACCCTCCTAGCTCAGGCTCTGACTGCCTCCTGCCACATGCCTCCAGGACCTCCTAAGCCACATTCTTTTGTGCCTGCTCAAGAGAATGAGAGGAGGGGGTGGTAAGCGGAGAGAAGGAACACAGGGCCCTGCACCAGAAGGCCCTGGAACCAGCCTGGGACAACGCATCTGGTCCTCTCCAGCAGACTTGAAGATAAACACTGTGGCCACTGCCCCTGTTAAGAGATCAAAGGACGGGCTGCAGTGTCTCAGTAACAACCTCTGTGACCTGTGACTAGAGACGTCAACTGGCCTGTCCTGAATGGAGGCCAGGCACAGCCAGATGGAAAGGGCAACCTCACAGAGAGGAGGCAGTAGAAGCCAAAGGCTAGCCCTGCTCCTGGGATGCCCCAGCCCTGTCAGGCCCCACTGTTCTTCTTAGAATAGTGGCTCGGACTCTGGGGTTCTGTGTCCACTGAGCTAGATTATTCCCTCCTGGTCCTACCAACTTCACACTTTAGTTTGGAGGAACAGGCCAAGTTCCCATTAGTGACCCCAAAATAAGACACCATGGCAATCAAGCTTCCTGGGGTAGTGGCTGCATAGGACAGCTACAGAAACACCAACCCCAGGAAATAAGAAACTTACAGAGGAAGGGTAACTCGGATAGGCCTCCTGCCACATGCCTCCAGGACCTGTCTCCTGCACTGGGCCTCAGGGGTGGTCAGGGCAGGGAGGACAAGTGCCCCAGGAAGGGCTGTGCAACACATATGTCCCAGTACCCCACTTAGCAGGGGAGGTGAGGCCTGCTATACAGTTGAAGGGATGAGCCCACAAGGTGGACAGCTGCTTCACAGAGGATGAAAAGAGCTATAAGTCAAGTCCTTAGACAGCTGGAGAATCATTAGGGCATAACCTAAGGGGTCCAGGGGGGGACCCCAGCCAATCTTTTTTTTTTTTTTGAGTTGCAGGCTCACTCTGTTACCCCGGTTGGAGTGCAGTGGCATGCTCATGGCCACTGTAGCCTCGACCTGCTAGGCTCAGATCCAAGTAGCCTCAGTCTTCCAAGTAGCTGGAACCACAGGCATGTGCTACCATGCCCGGCTAATTTTTTGATTTATGTAGAGATGAAGTCTTGCCATGTTGTTCAGGCTGGTCTCGAACCCCCTGGGCTCAGGCAATCCTCTCGCCTCCAACTCCCAAAGCATTGGGATTACAGGCTTGAGCCACTGCGCTTGGTCCAGCTCAGTCTTAAGTGGCAGAATCAGCTCTGGTGCCAGAACTCCTGACCCAAGCAGACCCCAGTCCCACTTACCTCTCTAAAAGGCATCGAGGTGTATCTAGGGCAGCCTCGATAAGAGATGGAGAACAGAAAATGCCCCGGGCGTGGACTAAGGAAGCTATTGCCACACTCCTTGCAAGATAGGCAGCAAGCTGAGTCACCACACAGAACTTGGGCAGAAAAGATACAGTGACTGATCCCAGCATGGCCTACCCTGGCAGACTCGGAAAGGTAACAAGGCCACTCCTGCCACCTCCAGGAAGCAGTACCCACCTGTACTTGGCCTCCCGTCCCACAAACTGGACCATGCAGCGCATTGAGATGACTGGGGGAAAGAAAAAAACACACAGGTAACAAACATGGTGGGCCAAAGCTCGCAACATCCCAGTCACAGGGTGCCTGGTGCAGAATGGCCATGAACGACACGGCCTATGTCAGAGTGCTGGAGGAGGAGCACTCCTGGAAGTCCCTGTCACCCCCATGACCACAGCATCCCTTTTCTTCTGCCTGAAAAGTGTCCAAGCTCCCTTTGGAAAGGACTGACAGACAGTCTCTCCTCAGTGGGGTTCCAGTGGAACACCATAACCTCACCAGCTCCCAGAAGTTCTACACCACCTAATGCGGTTCACAAGGGGCACCCCCCAAACCATCCACCCTGCTGGATAGTGGGCGGCTTACCATGGAGGGGGTGGGCCAACATACGGGACACACACTGCATCATCATCTCGTAGGAGGTCTGGAACAGAGAGAGGGTGGGGATCGGCCTGGCCGGTTCTGGAACTCATGGGAACAGCAAGCTCTTCCCACAACCCTCACTTGGGGTCAGCCTATCACCCACCCCACTCCAGCTAGGAGTGCTGCCAGATCCCAGGCTGGGCCCAACTGTGACTGAGAAGGCTTCTGGATTCTTCAGTGTCCAGAATGGGCTCCTTCCAGACTGGGTGCCATCCCACTCAAACATGTGCAACTCCATTACCCTTCAGCAACCTGCCTGACTCAGGGATGAAATAGCCAGTCCCCCCTCCATGAGTCTCTTCCTCTCAATTCTAGACACCCACCTCTTTCACGACTTTCTTTAGAGAAGTCTTCATATCATCCTTGTTGGAAACCTGCTCAATCTCATCCGGAGGGAACACCTAAAACCACACAAGCAGGGCCAAAAGCAAAGTACAGCAAAGCCTCTTAAATCAAACTCCTACGGACACAGGTGGCAGGAGCCAGTTCCTCACTAGCTGGGCCCCTCTCAGGTAACCCTCAGGCCTGGAGTTTGGGGGAAAAGAAAGCCACATCTGGTGCCACAGCTGGGAAAGCGGGAGGGCTGTGGGGCGGGAGCACAATAGTCCAGGAAGGAAGAAGCAGACCAGAGTCTGCCAGCTGCCTCTGGGGTGGCTGTGAATGTGGGACACCTTGGGCACTGCTCCTGCCTTCGTCCTGGGCTCACCTTCTTCATGCTGCCCCGGGTCACAGTGGAGAGGGCGTTGGACATCAGTCGGGGGCTCAGGCCTCGGAACAGCCCTATCTTACCATCCACTTGCACAATGTACTTGGCTATGAGAAAACAGAGGTGGCAGAGTCACGCCCAGCCCACAGCCCCCACTTCCAGGTCACACACCCCCAAGCCAGATGCAGCTTGCCCTTCAAGTCATTGCTGACTCAGGCACGGGAGGGCACATCCATCCAGGGACTGGAAGCAGTCAGGCCCAGTCCCCAAACGTCTTCCAACCCGTGTTTTTTTGTAAAACTCCAGAACCATTATTTGTGGCAAGCAAGTTCGTTTTCTTTTTTTTTTTTTTAGCTTTAAAAACTCTACTTGGGCTGGGCACAGTGGCTCACGCCTGTAATCCCAACACTTTGGGAGGCAGAGGCGAGAGGATTTCCTGAGCCCGCTGTTCAAGAACAGCCTGGGCAACATGATGAAACCTAATCTCTATAATCAATCAAACAATTAGCTGGGCATGGTGGCGCACGCCTGTAGTTCTAGCTACTTGGAAAGTTGAGCGGAAGGATCGCCTGAGCCCAGCAGGTCGAGACTACAGTGGCCATGAGTGTGCCACGCACTCCAGCCTGGGTTACAGAGCAAGACTTCAACTCAGGAAAAAAAAAAACAAAACCACCTGGCTAACTCAGTTATGATTCCTCAACTCTGCAACCTAAGTGCTGCAACACAGAAAACAATTCTGTTGCTTATAAATTATGTTTCTCTCAGGGAAAAGGAAAAAAAAGGACAAAAAGAGAGTACTCACAGGCACTGATGGAGTCTGCAACCCAAGGGAGGAAAAAAGGGAAAGGAAGGGCTCCTGGAAGACAGGCTCAAGAACTTTCTCCGAATGTGCCACGGCCAGGCAGGCCCCACCCTGTTACTATAGTGCACGCGGGACACTGCCTGGCACCTGTTGGCATTTAGTAGTTAAAGTAAAAACAAGTCTGTGGAGAAGTTACTAAACCAGAAGCACCAATGAACGATTCTATAGAAAAGAACGTCAACAGTCAGGGAAGCTAGATACTACCTGTGTGAATTCAGTGTTTTTCCACTGGGGGCTTCCTTTCTAAGGATACCTTTCATGATGCTTCATTGTTTTAGAACAACTTTTTAAACACGTTTTAAAAGCAGGATGTTTTTATAAACTGCGTGTCTGAAAGCTTGAATAAATACTCTCTCGGACAATGTGCGGCTCCCCTTGTAGACCCACGACTTTAGCTCTCTAGCACCACACAGAGGCAGGAACAGCAAGTATGCCTTTTTCTCCTTTGCAATATGACTGCCAGCCCAGCAATCCCATGTCACAGCATGAATTTTCACTGGGTCCAGAGCACCTGTTACCTGTACATGTGATTTCCTGAGATGGGGGTGGGCTGGGAAGAGGAGGAGGGGAGAGGACTCTGGTTGCTGTGGCGAAGGGCACCCTACTTCACTGAGTGAACACGCAAAGGGAAGGTTTGTTTCAGGGGAGGGGAGGTTCTAGTCAGCATAAAGCCCCAACATGTGATCTTGAGTGATCCACTTACCCTCTTTCTAGCTGATGTGCCCACCAGTGAAAAAGGAGTAAGGCCCCTGTTTCTCCCCACTTCAGAGATGAGTTCTGAGCAAGTGAGAGCAGAAGAAGGTATGCTGAAACGCCTGCAGAGGCCTCTGGACCCAAAGACTTCAGGGTTGGCCACAGGTTCCATCACTGGAACTCTGCAGAGCCTGGAGACCCTCCGCGGAGTTCCTCCTTTACATTAGAGAATGTCACCACAGTTGTGGCACTCTCCACTGTGACATGAGTTCCTCCTTTACATTAGAGAATGTCACCACAGCTGTGGCACTCTCCACTGTGACATGAATTAGGAGCAGATATGTCCAGACATACTCGACAGTGGGGCAACTGGGCCCTCCCTGACTCCAGAGCAGGTATGGTGTTTGAAGACGCCCAGCAGACATCTGCTCACAAATCTGGCCTGAAACAGCATTTATATAACAGGGCCGGGGCACCCTAGAACTCAGCTCCTCTTTACAAGAGGCAGTAAGACGGGGATCAAGAGCCCTCGGCCCTGAGTGCTTTCGGGGACGGCTGCATCACAGGAGGAGAGATGATCTGGATTCCAATGTCCCGTCTCATAACATGGTCCACAAGGCCAGATCCAGAGAAGCCACAATGAAAGGGGCTGGCAGTCCCCACCCTGGCTGCCTACGAATCCAGGGTTATCTTTGTATGAAGGTTTCTCTGTACGGCACTGACCTCCCTCTGCCCTACACTGATCTTTCTCTCTCTCTCTCCCTTTTTGTCTACTTATTTACTTTTGAGCTTGGGATCTCACTCTGTTGCCCAGGCTGGAGTGCAATAGCATGACCATGGTTTATCACAGCCTTTGCCTCCCAGGCTCAGTTAATCCTTTCACCTCAGCCTCCTGAGTAGCTGGGACTATGGGTGTGCAACACCACACCTGGCTCATTTTTTTATAGAGATGAGGTTTCACTATGTCGTCTCCAATTCCTGGGCTCAAGCAATCTTCCTGCCTTGGCCTCCCAAAATGCTGGGATTACAGACGTGAGCCACTGCACCTGGCCAATTTTAAAATAAAAACCAATACAAACACATTTCCTCACGAAACGACACGTTCTGCCTGGCCCTAGACTCTGCAGTGAACAGTACAGGGATGATACTGAAAAGAAACGTGACATCTGACTCTGCCAGTGGTTAGGGTGTGAAAGAAAAAAAGGTAACACGAAGGTCAAGCTCCAAGTTATCCAGCAAAATGATTTTCAGAGAACATTCTGAGCCAGCTGAACAGGCGAGAAGAGCAGAGGTGCGGAAACACGAGGGGGTTAGCCTGGAATGGAACTCTGGCCGTGCACATGGAGACAAGGCACACTTAAAGCAGGCCCCCGTCAAAGTGACTCGAGTAGGTGGGGACTGGGAGTGGGAAGGCAAAGGCAGACAGGAAAAGGCCCAGTCAGTAGGTGCGTGCAGGCTGGCAAATAAGCAGTAGAGGCAGCAAAGTGGGTAGACAGATGGTAGCTGGACGAAGGCCGGGGCACAAGAAGCTGACGTGGGAGCGGAAGAGCCAGAGCAGACCCGGGGCCCATCCACACACACACAGCGAGGCAGGGGCACACAAAGGCGAAGGGCAACCCACTGCCCACTTGTCTATAGCCAGCAGCTGAGATGACCCTGTGTGAGTAGGCACCGCTGCCCGGGAATGGAGGAAGCAGGACAAGCAGGTAGGTAGAAAAGAACACAGGAGGGGCCTCAGTAGCGGGAAGGCTGGTAACCTGCGCACTGCTCAGAAGACAAAAGGACACCACCCGCTTCCAGGCACAACCCGGGATGGCAGGGATAGCAGGGACCGGTGTCCTGGACTGGCCCCTCTCTGAGGTACCTGCTGCCAGGGTTGGCGCTGGCAGCAGCAGGCAGAGCTGGACCAAAGCCACACTGTTCACCGGCTTCTTTCCGACACGCGCCATCTCTGGCCACGCTCTTAGATCCCTCCTCCATGCCTGCTCTGACTCTGGGTGTCCCTCTGGGTGCCATGCTGCACAGGGGTTCCCTGGGGCCCACCCTCCACTCGAGGCCTCTTTTCTGTTGCTGTGGGCTTTCCTGCACAGGAAGCACACTTACCATAGGTGAAGAAGCTTGGCAGGTAGAGGACCTTCCTCCCCAGCACATTGGTCCCGAGGGTGGGGGGCATCGGCTCATGACCCACCTTCAGAATTAACAAAGACGAAAGGAGGGTCAGGCTCCTTCAGTCTCGCTGCTTCTCCTCCTCGGCCAGGCCTCCAAAGACTTCCCTCCCACAAATTCTAATGCTGTTCCTGTTTTCCCCGCCAAAACACACCAGAAATCTCATCAGTGTCTGCAGCCATCAGCAGCACAGTCCCCCAGTTAACATAATCGTCTACTCTCAGATACCACCCTGGCCACAATCCAAGTCATACCCATTCCCTGCCATTCTTACCTTCAAATCTCAGATATTACCAGTGTAGAAACCCCCATTTTAATATACTTCAAACCCCACTCCCATCTCAGAATAAATCTCACTTAGTTCTCATTTCCAGATTAAAAACATCATTCCAACCTCAATTCCAAATGTGGAACCACCAAAACACATCTACCCAAATTTCATTCCCAAATTTCAGACAGCTTAGCCCTAAGTCACCTCCTCCAAAGTCCATCCTAAACTCAAATTTCCTACCAAATCTATTGCAGATATCTCCACATCTATCCCTCTCAATTCCCAGGCTTAGCCAACTGTTACCTCAAATCCCAGTTGCTCCTCAGTCTTATCTTCAACTGTGTTCTAACCTCAATCACCCCGTATATCTGTGACAAAATGACCGCCCCCATTTCTGCAGGGTTCTTATTTGGGCCAGGTATGGTACCTGATGCCAGCTGAGATGCAAGCTTAACACCAGGAGTTTGAGACCAGCCTGGGCAACATAGTGAGACCCCGTATCTAAAAAAAATTTTTTTAATTTGTCAGTTGGCCAGGTGTGGTGGTTCAGCCTATACTCCCAGCATTTTGGGAGGCTGAGACGAGAGGACTGCCTGAGCCCAGAGGTTCAAGACCAGCCTGGGTAACTTGGTGAGACCTCATCTCTACAATAAATTTAAAAATTAGCCAGATGTGGTAGTGTGCGCCTGTAGTTTCAGCTACTTGGAAGCCTGAGGCAGAAGGATCGCCTAAGCCCAGCAGGTCGAGGCTATGGTGGCCGTGAGCATACCACTGCACTTCAGCCTGGGTGACAAAGTGAGACTCTTAGTCAAAAAAAAAAAAAATTGGCTGGGTGCGGTGGCTCACGCCTGCCATCCCAGCACCTTGGGAGGCTGAGGCAAGAGGATTGCCTGAGCCTAGAGGTTTGAGACCAGCCCGGGCAACTTGGCGAGACCTCGTCTCTACAATAAATCAAAAATCAATCGGGCGTGGTGGTGCCTGCCTGTAGTTCCAGCTACTTGGAAGGCTGAGGCGGAAGGATTGTCTGAGTCCAGCAGGTCGAGGCTACGGTGGCCGGGAGTGTGCCACTGCCCTCCAGCCTGGGTGACAGAGTGAGACTCCAACTCAAAAAAAAAAAAAAAAAATCTCAGACACAATCAAGGTCTTGTCTGGTACCTTGATGCCCCTGATTGAATCTCCTCATTTCTTGTCATATTTCTAGTGACACTCAAAAATCTATTAGCCCCATTCCTCAGACTCTAGATTTCAATTACTTCCGTTCTTAAGGCCTTTTCATTCCAATTGTATTTCACATTCTCTCACTCCAGTTATAAGGACAGTAAAATCTGATACCCATTTGCCTCAAATGAAATATCGGCAGAGTCTCCATCTCAATTTCTACCTCCCATCCCTCCACGCTCTTCAACTGGAAAATTCTAGCCTCCACTTTCAGATATCAGTCCAGGCCTGCACCACCTCCACCAAAACTGTGCCCATCTCAGTCACACCCACCTAATTCAGCCAAATGCACACCTCCACATACACATCCCATTCCTGCTCAAGTTCTCCTTCTCTCCAGCAGCACACTTACTTCATCTGTACCGCACTGCTGGCCACCACCAGATGTGCCCAGTGCCCACGCACCTCTCCATTCTAGGGACGTCCCGCCCTCCGTCTCAACTGCTAGCCCCCCCGCCATCCTGCCACCCTACATCTCCACTGCCCATTCTGCCCAATTCCAATACTCCCATGTCTCTTCCTTCTCCTCATCCCCCCACATATAAGCACTGCGATTCCCACCTCCCAACTATGACTTCCATTTTCTCCTCCAAATGCATCATCTGTCCCCCTAAAAGCCTCCTCCTAGCTCCCCTCTTTAGACACAATGCTGCCACTCTCCTCCCCCAGTGCGAGGCCCTCTCTGTTCCCCTCCTCCCAAACGCGTCACCCTGTCCCCTCCTCCCGCCAACTCTGTCGTCACCATCAAATCCACAGCCCCCATCGCTGGTAAACCGATAGCTCTCCCCTGCTAAAGGCTTTCTTTGCTCTCGCACTCTTCCATCAAATTTCGTCACCACTGAATCCAAGACCTCTGTCTCCTCCTCCCAGTCTGATGCCCTTCCTTCCTTCCTAAATTTCTGGCCCTGGCGCCCACTCCTTTGTCCCCCCAAAGACGCTTTTAATCCGTCTCTATCAGATCCAGAGCCCGTTCCCCTGTACCCCCAAATATGTGCTCCTTGCCTTCTAAATACTTTGCCTCGGCCCCAACCTTCCTCCCCACCGATTCGCCAGAACTTCCAGCCCCTCCCCCAATTCTGTTGCTTCCTCCCTCACCCCAAATTCGCTCCCGTCCCTATCCCAAGTCCGTGGCCCCTATTCCTCTATCTCCCAAACCCATCTCTCCAGCCCATCGCCCTTTCCCTGCACCCCCTAAATCTCTAGTTCCTTCCAACTTCTCCTAGATGTGTTGCCCCGACCTTTGCCGCCCGCACCCCCAAGCCCGTGCCCCCTGCATCGCCACATCCCTCATCGCTTCCCTCCTCTCCCACCCCTCCGGGCCCCCCAAACCCGCCGTCCCCGCCCCTCTCCCCGAATCCGTCGCTATTGACTCCCGGCCCCAATCCTCCTCCAGATCCTGGCCTGTCACCTTCACGCCAGCCTGCCCTCGCCCTGCGGGCCTCGGGTCCCCCACCTGGATGAGCAGCTTCACATAGAGCAGCGGGTGGCTGAGCGCCGTCACGCCCGCGCCCAGCGCCACGAAAAGCGCCTCAGTGGTCGGGGCGTTGTCCCCGGAGCCCAGGCCCCCCGACCCGCCGTCCATCCTGCGGGCCGAGGGCTGCGCCGCAGGCCGAGGGTGTCGCGGATGGGCGCGGTGCGCGGGCGGCGGATCGCGAGCTCGGGCCTCGACCCCGGCCGCCGCGCCGCCGCGAGCTCCAGCGCCAGCTCCGGCTCCCGCCATCCCCGCGGCACCGCCGCGAGCCCAGGGCGCCACTTCCGGGTCCGAAGCCCCCATGGCGCCGGGCGGCGAGGTCACTCCCCGTCACGTGACG